AGAATATCTGCGTCCACTTGGAGCTGTCTATCCTAAAAATTTAATTTTTTATCCCTGATTTGTGCGTGTCGGCCTCGCAGGCAAGACGCGTTCGAAGTAGCGAATATATCAATATCTCACCGCTATTTCCCTTTTCGGCGAGCTTTCAGTCGAACACATATCACCCAACTAGTTATTTCCAAGGTGTGTTTCTTAGAATTCGCCCGTAGCTAAGCCGTTTAGTTTTGCAGTCCACTTTTGCCGGCCGCCTCCACATTGTCTTGCCATCCGAGTAAGACGGGAGAAGAGTAAGTGTGATAGATACATCGAAAGTCCGCTTCACTATAAACTGCCGTTGCTGGGTGGAAATCGTCGCTTGTCGGCCCCGATCTGCTATATCCTGTTGGGATCGTAGATCCCATTATGTGTTTCCATATGTACTCTAAAATACCATAATTTGAAAGTTGATGATGAATAATTTTTTTTCAAATTGCTCTTAAATCCAATACTTACCCCCCTCTCTGTGAGAGGAGATATTGAAGCCTTTTTCTCGATATAAACGCCAACGTGTCCACTTTTGACAGGACTGGCATAGTCCCCATTGTCTATGGACCACCAAAGGAGGAGTATGAAGTTCTAACCCCACCAAACTCCTTCATTCACGTGGACGACTTTGCTACAGTGAAGGAGCTTGTTGGTTATTTGGAGTACCTGGATCAGAATGACACCGCTTATGCAACTTACTTCGCTTGGAAGGAATACGGAAAAATTCTGGGTAGTCCTTGTTCCCACAATTTTCCTGTTTTATTCTTCTCCTGCTAGCATTGAACTCATCATCATTGAGAATAATAATATTATTTACATCATTATTTTGTGAGGTCGCTGCGTAATTTCTGCGCCATAAATTCATATAACATGATTTTCATCCCTGACCTATCGTAATTACTGCGTTCTATTCGTCCTCGCCAATCCTCACCAGTGGACGTCGCAAATAATCGCAGATGTTGTAGCCTAATTTATGTTTATGGCAGCCAGTGCAGCAGAAGGAGAGAGAAACTCCTTGCATCTGATATACCGTACGCGCCAGCATTTGCGTAACACCGTCAAGTCTACATGAAACCCCTTCTAGCACACAGAGCGTATACCCAACGGACCCGCAATTTATACTGCGTGAAAGGAAAAATACATCCTTAAAAGGAGACATATTTTGATGTATAAAATAAGAACTAATTTGTTTTACCAAAAGCTGTCAAATCCAAAAAAGGGCTCTAGGACAGTTCAAGGATAAGCAATATGTAAGAAAATAAGATAAAAGGACAAAATAAGGAAAAGTAATACATATCTAACATAATAATATTTTTTGAGTGTATTTTCGCGTTCATAACAGCAGCAATTCGAAAGAAAATAGGGACAGCGATGCTATCAAGTATTAGGGCCAAACTCCATTTTCTGTTCCAATGAAGGATATTTCGGAGGCTTGCAACAGTTTCTCTTGAGTAAGGCGAAGAGATTTGCAATGGCATTAAGGTCAGAATTGTTAGGAGGAATAAAGATTTTCCACAGGCCGCTGGCAAAAGGGGTGGCTGTAGTCTTAAAACAAATAGATTATACTCGTACGGTAAATTATACTTGATTTGGTCGCCTGTGTATGTCATTATAACCAAAAATATATTTGACAATGTTGACATATACGTGACTGTTAATCGTAACTCTTGTCGACCGCCAGATTGGTCGCTCACCGAACTTGATCACCATCCAAACCATGAGGTATCGGTGGTTCTTGAATGTTCATGTCGAAGCACTACCTCTTTTTTAGGAAGTTTTTTCCTCATGACCGCATGTGCCGACTTTGTTGACTTGCATAAGAAAAGTACTTAATCACAATAAAAAAACAGTTTTCCAAAACGAAAGTCTGTGACTAACATATTTCTGAGCAAATAGGAAACTTTCCTTAATAAGTTTCCTACTTAGAAATGGCTTAACCGTAGCAATTTGCTGATGAAGGCCGAATTCCCGCATTCTGTTTCTAACTATGGTCCGAGAGAATATTGACAAATGCTCCCTGCTAATAGCCCTAACGGTCATATAATGGTATTTTTTAGTGTTAGACGAAAAGATAGATATAGATAGATAGAGAACAATATTTTGATGATAATATCAAAATTTTCAGCAAAAAGTGGCTCCATTCACGG